ATTAATATACCCTTGTGCACAAGTGCGCTCGGGTATAAAAAAATAAAAAATAAGGGATCTCAACTGGATCCATTAAATTGCTTTCATCTGTATTTTCTATACATACATTTTATTTCTAGGATGTTCTATTGTAAAATGCACAGTCAAANCAGACGGACAGACGGACGGACAGACAGACATGGCTTAATCGATTTCTTTTTTCATCCTGATCATTTATGTATACATTTGTCTATATCTATCTCGATTCGTTTTGGCTGTTACAAACAACCGTTATGTGAACAAAATTAATATACCCTTGTGCACAAGTGCGCTCGGGTATAAAAAAATAAAAAATAAGGGATCTCAACTGGATCCATTAAATTGCTTTCATCTGTATTTTCTATACATACATTTTATTTCTAGGATGTTCTATTGTAAAATGCACAGTCAAATACATACATATGTATGTATGTNATTGCATTCATAAACAAAACCAAAGCTGATGCACAAAAATTGTTTTGCAAAAGCTTTACCATGACAGTTTAATAAGGGTCGCTCACAATCCATGGCATATTTCTGCAATTGCATAAATTTGTCAGCTCTTATGCACCGAATCGCGAATAGCCCTATTATATTTCTAGGATGTGCTATTGTAAAATGCACAGTCAAATACATACATATGTATGTATGTGATAGTTACCATTACGAACTCTCGTAAATACTTACCCCCTGTTCCAAGAACACGTATCAGCTTGAAATGTGATAAATTTACTTTCTCGTCTTCCGTTGCATTGCCTATAAAAACACAGGAGAAGAAGAAGAATATAATTTAATAAAGGGCTTTTCAAACAAACACATCATAAAAGTAGCTTATGAAAAGGGGGACACATTCAACTACAATAACCTACCATTATAAACTAAGTGCGCACATAATTGTATTAAAGTGTGTTTCATTTACATACGAATGATGTGATAAATAAACTTGACAATGCTAAGTAATGAGTACCTATGCTATGAAAAGTGGCGCTTACATACATATACGAGTACATGTTGCATATACAGTCGGTGTCAAATGTAAGTGGTACACCTTGTTGTAATATAAAATTCACAATTATTTTCATGAAAAATTATTTCATTCATTATTTATGAAAATATAGTTGATGCTATAACATAAGCTATACAAATAAAAGTTTCACACTTTATATAAAGTTCACAAAAATGCAAACAATTTTCATCAAAATTTCAAAATTTTTATTCAGAATTTCTAGAAAATTATGGCAGTATGCAGTTTTGTAGCCCGTTTAATTTTAGTACAACAAAGTGCATGTTTTAAGTCGCTAGAAATTACCGTTGTTTTTTTTTTTGTGGAGGGTGTTGGGCATTTTCTTACATATATATAAAAATAGATTTTGATCACAAAATACATTTTTCGGAAATATAATAAAATTTACGTGATCTGGACCGATTTGAAAATACATACCTCCAAAAATGGATTTTTTTTATGAATAAAAATAGATTCTTAAAGTACTTTTGAAAAAAATAGCCAGCCTGATGAGGGTGGCTTTTTTTTGGTGGGTTTGAAAAAAGTGTATCTATTGTGATTCCGTTGAATTTTTATTTTAATGCAATTGTTTTAAATGTTAAATGTTTTTAAATGTTAACTATTTTAAAAAATTAACTCATTAGGTCGTTACAATATTACCTTGGAAACCCTGAATAAGCCAAATCAGCAAAATCTTAAACTTCTCGGCCCTGCTTAGAAGGTACGATCTGTTCTGATAATTCAATCTTAGCCTCGCGAAAACTGTAAGTACCCCCACCAAATACGGAAGATATAGCTTTGCAGGCATAATTAGCTTTTCTGACCGCCCCGCCACCGTGGACCAAACGGACCTTGTAATTGCGCATGAGGCCCATCTGTTCAAGAAATAACCATAGGTGGTGGTGGTCAGTGGTGCTCCCACCCGTACCTTGTCAGGTGATATCGTTTCAAGGGTACCCTTTCTCGCCAACTCGTCAGCCATGTATAGTTTCCCGCAATGCCACTATGGTCTGGTACCCATATAAGTCTAATTAGAAAATAATGCCACGGAGTTGCTAGGACGTTACTCCCTCCCTTTTTCCTCAATGGCAGGTTTCTAGGAGCAGACTCAAATACTTGACTCAGTCGGAAAGCTGCAGTCGTACACCCTCATCAAGGGAAGAGTTGATGTGGGGATCTTGTACTTGGTAGTATATAATATTTGGTTTGTCTCACCAGAATTGACGTCGAGGTGGCTTATTTTCTAAGTCATTTTATGGAATATTCTGGAGTAAATATAATTCAAGAAGTATCTAAATTTTTTCTCTTTTTTTATTTTATTTATTTATTTTTTTTTTTTATCGACCGATAGAGTTTAAAATCGCAATCAGAGAGGTTGTCGTCTGCAGACGAATCGTTCGTTTCGTCTATCGTTCGTGATACAGAATAAGGCCCTAAATTTTGTAATATGCAATTACATTTTCTTAGAGAAGCGGATCTTCAATATAAATATATATAGCAGGTGGTATCACTCAATGCAAACGTGAATGCACAGATAAAAATAAATGAATCAGAGCAGACAAAGCTGCTATAAAAAAACTGGTAAGGTTCTATGTCGCGTGCGGGTTGAAATAAAAATACAGCATACAGGCCCACTTTTGCCTACAGTATAACTAATCCTGTAGGCGAACATACCGATAAACAAACGAATATGCGAGCTGACAAGCAGACCAACTAAATACATACAAATGTACATACTTATGGACTTTTATTTATTGCCGTCTGCAGCTATAGCTAAAGCTTAAATCAAGGCAAATCATTCAAACCATCCATCAGACCAGTGGGCGACTGTATGCAGGAGTTGGTTACACGAATCACACATACATACATACACATTGCTCTCTAATAGTGGTGTTATTGTTGTAATACTATTGGGGGTTTCTGTTCTTCAATTGGCATACATATTAGCAGTGCGTCACAGATTGTCAAGGACACTGTCTGCAAGTGACATTCAACTTGAGAGTATATGTATGAATGTATGTATGCTTACAATTTTAATGCGGCGTAGGCAAACGATTTTCACCAAAGAATGAAAGGAGTTTGATGAAAAAATTTATTTAAAAAAAGCAATCGATAAAAAGCATCGTTACTTACATACCTACAATTTGCAAGAAGTCTGACGATAGTAAAAGGAGCATAAGGGGCCAACTGAGGAGCAATGAAAAAGCACATAATTTGTTTATTTTCACTTTTCCACAACTTAGCAAATTTTCACAGCCAAAGTATCGTAGCAGTTGTTAAAACAACAAAAAGTGTAGACAGTGAGAGTAAAAGCGTGCGAAAGTCATACATACATATCAGAGATGTTGCGAATATTTGCATTCGTATTCGTTATACGAATGATTCGTATCATTTTACACATTCGCATGTGTACATGGGCAGAGAGTCCACTCGAACATTGTTGAAATGGCTCTAAGAACCGGTTGTTCAATGTCTGGTTATCACTACCTCCCAGTTAAACATCATTATCGACGTTTTCGACATCATGCATATAACATGTGATCGATAAGTAGTCGTTGTATTTAACCGGAGTTTCTATTTACGATGACTTAAGTTGATTATAGCTTCTTTAATGTTATTCCTAACATTCGCATTCCGAATATTCGCATTCGCAAATGTGAAAAATACGACTATCGAAACATCCCTAATACATACATACCCACATTTACTATTCACAAATACATGCATATATATATCTACAAGTTAATATGCTTGGCCAGACATTTGTCGAATAGGCCTTACTAAATTGGCGAGCCATGAACGGCATAGCGAAACAGGACGATCAAGAAAACGACCGTCGCGTGCACGTCCAAAGTTGGCTCGCACAAAGGTCATTCGCAGGGAAACCCACAAAAGTCAATGTGCTAAAGAAATATGAACATAAACAAGGGGAGAGTAAGCGAAGCTGCTATGCACATAGATACATGCCTTATTAAAGGAATGTAGTGGTAGATACATAATTAAAAACATGCGAATATTTCTCAGCCTGAGAAGAAAAATTCTTGACTTCTTTTGCCTAGTATGTTCTTTATAATAAATTTTAAAAACTTCAAAAAACATCAAAAAAGGAGAAGGTTATTATAAGACTATTTTAAAGAAGGGACTTCGATGGCCGTAAATAAAACTTCGCTGAAGGAAAATAAAAAGACCTATTACTAAAGATGTAAAATATTATGAACTATGAAAAAAACGAAGGGCCTTCTTGTTTGAAGGCTTACTGCCGGTTTCACAAAAGCAATTTAAGTGAAAAATTACTTTTTTCTGTCAGTTTCCATATTAAGTTCAATTAAAAAAATAATTGTTCACTTAAATTTATTTCGTGAAACTCGCTATTACAACGCTGTCGTGGCACAATCCTAATTCAGGATCTCAGTCGAAGAAAACAATACGCGGAAAACAATTTCGGAAAAATAAGTCCTTTTTTATTATTAATGATTTCAACGTAAAAAACAATCCTGANCGAAGAAAACAATACGCGGAAAACAATTTCGGAAAAATAAGTCCTTTTTTATTATTAATGATTTCAACGTAAAAAAAAGCCTGCCTTTTCGATTGAGATGCCTTAAAAGAAACTTAAATATGACCGCCATTCAAGAAATTGCAAATAAATTTTCTTTTTAAATTTTCACCTTGCAAGTTTTGCTTGTTAGCAGCCGAGATGAAAAAATTATCTTCGAGCAAAATCGTTGCGGTTCTCAGCGGCTCTCAGCGGAATTTTTTTTTTGGGAAAAAACATTTTCATGCANTTGCTTGTTAGCAGCCGAGATGAAAAAATTATCTTCGAGCAAAATCGTTGTCCATTTCGTTTGCGTTATTTCCCAACTTAGTTTTAGCTTAAATAGATTAATTTCGCGTGGGTATGATTCCCACCTTTCTATGCAGATTTCCAGCAAGAAATAGCTGTCACTGTCAAAATAACATATGATTAAACAAACACTATATGGCCCACCCGTTATTTGATGCTCACATTTTTGTCAAATGTTTTGCCTAGCTTCTAGTCCATTTTCTGGTGTGGAAATTAATGTGTTTTTGGCAAAAGAGGAGATGTACAGTTCAATTGCGGTTCTCAGCGGCTCTCAGCGGAAATTTTTTTTTTTTTTGGGAAAAAACATTTTCATGCAAAAAAAAACTGTTTTTATAATTTGTGGATGTTGCGCGGAGCAGGAATCGCAACTAGGTTCTACCGAGTATTAGTACAGACATCTAAAGTGACTGTACACTGAATAAAAAATATAACCCCATAACTAGATAACCTGATAGCCAGGCAAGCGTGAATNTGACTGTACACTGAATAAAAAATATAACCCCATAACTAGATAACCTGATAACCAGGCAAGCGTGAATAACCTCAATGTGGTTGTGCATACTTGCCTGGTTATCAGTTTATCTGGTTAAAAATTATTCTGTATAAAAAATATGCACCACATAACCAGATATTGTGATAGCCAGGCAAGTGTGAACAACCACAATGTTTTTTTTTACAAATCCTTTAGTAAAAACCGAGATACTAGTTGTAACACTGCATGGAAATTGTACAAGTATGAATGGCAACTTATGAAAAAATGCTCCTAAATACATAAATTGATTTGCTGTAGTATCTGAATAGAAGAAAATATGGAGGCAGTTTGAGCGTTTTAATTTTCTTACTTTTTTCTCGTTACGAATTGAGGCCAACTACAACAAGTAGAGAAGCCAACTATTAGTTGAACAGAAG